TTTCAATTAATAAATAAAACAAACGGAGTCCGGTAACTGAGAGCAAATTCGGATGCGGAGGCTCTCGACCAAATACTATTCTTTAACTTGGTAAATGTGAAAATGATTACGATGATCGCGTGATAAAGCGATTAAATGCCACGCTTTAAGGTCGTAAGGTGTATCCTGAGGCTATTAACATATAGTAAGAGAGAGAGAGAGAGAGAGAGAGAGAGAGAGAGAGAGAGAGAGAGAGAGAGAGAGAGAGAGAGAGAGAGAGAGAGAGAGAGAGAGAGAGAGAGAGAGAGAGAGAGAGAGAGAGAGAGAGACGGAGACAGATAGAAACAGAGGGAGGAGAGAGAGAGAGAAAGGGAGACATGCAGATAAACAAAGACAAATAGACGGACTTGAGAGGAAAAGACATAGAAATAAGAAAAAAGGTAGAGAGTGAATAATAGAAATGACTGGCAAAAAAGAAAAAATATAGTTTTCTACCCTTGGTATTCTAGCTACTCAAATCCGGGACTCTCAGTGGCAGTCAGACCCATATCACAACAGACGTTCCCAACCCCTGATTCACACACACTTACGCATTCATCTTAAAAGAAAGCCCTAAAGATTCATTAAATAAAAAGCAATCACACGAGAAAATAAGAAAGGTACCCCGATAACAACATAGAAATACATGTTTTCCTTCGTTTGTTCGACTGTTTGTTTTGTTTATGGTCATACAGGTGGTTCCTCAAGGATATTTCTCCTGGAGGATCTTCAGGAGTGGCGTGAGAAGACGTCCTGGCCGTAGATGAAGGCGCTGCTCCTGCCGTTCAGACGATCCTTCTCGGCGGGGCCCTGGAACGCAGCAGAAGATCTTGTTAGGAGACATTTCTTTTAAGACGCAGTATGAAATGGAGATTTTTGTAAGGTTCCGTTGATTGAAACAAGGACGATTTAATGGGTTCTTTAAAGATTAAAGTAGATTAAAAAAGAACATGAGAGACCTTTATTAACCGCGGAGTTTTCTCTACAGTATGAATAATATGAATTTCAAATGGGGTCCCTGCAACGAAAATTTTTTTACAGGGGAACTTCCTCTTCAGGAATGAAAGAGAACGCAGCAACTTTTCCGCTTAGAATATTTTAGGGCGCGGGTCACTAGCGTGGATGAACTTGGAAATTAGCGTTAAAGCTGAAAAGGCATAAGAGGGAGTGCTACATAAGAGAGAAAATTTACAAAAAGAATTTTCTCTCCGAAACTTTCTGAAAATGTAGCGGAAACTGAGATGCTGAAGGTCATTTTAACATGGGACCTCGGCTATATTTTTTCTGGAATACAGTGAATTAAAAAGTGAGAGAGACTGACACATAGGCAGACAATGAGAAAGGGAGATAGAGAAGAGAGACAAAGGAAGAGACAACAAAGGATCAGCGAGAGAGACAGACTGACAGAGATAGAGAGAGAGATATGGAGACAGACACACAGACGGACACGCATGCAAAACAAAAACAGACGAAACGTACAGAAACAGACAGAAAAAAGACAAAAGGGAGAGAAAATCCACATGTTAACCCTCAATTTCCTCATCCGTTTCGCCTGACCTTTGTGACCTCGTTCAGAACAGCGTGGGCGGCGCGACACCTGTTCCCCAGCGCCCGTGTCATTGTCTCTCCCGCGACCACCAGCTCAGCGTCCAGCGCGGTCACCAGACTGTCCATCATGCTGACCTGAAATGTAAACAAAAATAAACATAAATAAAATCTCACATAAACAAAAAGCACGTTTGGGTGCGAGTAACTAAATTAAATTCCATGCGTTTTTTTTAGTTTATCGCGTTTTTGATGTTTTTGTTTCTTGTGGTGCTGTTGTTGCTCGTGTGGTTCCTTTGAACTTTTATTCAGGATCTTCGAAAGAGATTAGATATCTGAGACGTGATAGACTGCTTACTGACTGTTTACGTTCAGCAAAGGGTTTACTTAAAGAAGTAGAAAAAAATATATATATAAAAAGGTATCTGTATCGATACTTATTTTTTTTCTTTTTTTCCTCACGCTAAATAAAAAAATGCATATCTAATTTCCTGTTTTCCCTAGGAATAGTCTAATGCCGCTGAACACAAAGTGAGGGTTATCGAACCTAAAGAAGCCGCATTATTCAGCCTTATTCCCTTGCCTATTTTCATTCTTATTTATTCTTGGCTCTCTTATCTATTCTCTGCAACTTCGAAGTCGCCAAAGTGTTTATGCTTGTGCAGCGGTGCGCGTCTATAATCATTCTTAATTTGACCGATCGATTGTGCAACCTTTTCTAGCAATCTTGGTCTTTAAATTACCGAACTGGATGTTCTGTCATTCATCAAATGGTTATCTTGATAGATATGTTTTGATCACTTTAGTTCGACCTGTTTATTCTATACATCAATATCAAGCAGTTCTTGGTCACATGAAAATAAGCCCCTGTTATAACTTACTAACCACAACCCCACAAAAAGTCTAAATAAGCTATATTTCGCTTTAAAATAATATCCGACGAATGAAGTCATGTGCGAACATTTCAGAGATCTAAACTACGGCTTTTCCTAGCTACTTTTAGCTTAATCCGCAAACAGGCCATTTTATTATTCTTTTATATATAACATATATCAAACACTCCCATCATCTCTACAATGCAAGTGAGTTTACATTAACACAAATTTGATTTCATGTAACCAGTCATACCACACCACTCTCTATCAAATAGATTTAAATTCTATAGAGTAATTTACTGCACACATCCCTTAAAAAGACTTCACAATAACCATATTTTCTTTAGCGAGCAAATGGTAAAAGAACCGCCATCTTTAATCCGACGAATCCACATTCATATGCGAACGCTCGAAAGGTAAACAAAGCCGCTGCATCACTTCGCGTTCGAGTGTCAATAATCTAAAACCCTATAAAAGAAGAAAGCAGAAGAACGTCAATAAGTTCCCTATCAGAGCCTGCATTTCGTGTATATCGTAATGGCAGGGAACCCAAAACTGCAACCTCATCCTGAGACCATAAACAACGTAGATAAAGTGAGTGAGGTGTCCATTAGCATTCGAAAAAGAGAATGGAGTGTCAAGGGAAGAAAGAAACAAGATTGAAGGAGAAAGATAGTCTAGTCGGTACGTGATGTAATTTTCTATTTTTTCCGTCGTTTGAGTCTTAATTTGTTGGTCTAACGAGTAATGTCAAAGAAATAAACGTTATGGGATAATGCGTGATACGGGGCAAAGGTAAATTAACGTAGAACACACACACACACACACACACACACACACACACACACACACACACACACACACACACACACACACACACACACACACACACACACACACACACACACCCTGAACGTATACATATGTACATATATGTATGTAAATGTGCGGGCGTATACGTGTGCGTGTGTGTGTGTGTGTGTGTGTGTGTGTGTGTGTGTGTGTGTGTGTTTGAGTCTGAGTGTGTGTGTGGACTTGATTTCCAGAAGTTTAACCCAACGGTGGAATTCCAACTACGCCATATCAAACAAATTCTTCCTCAGGCTCGAAAATGATATGCGATGCGTCCAGACTGGTTCGCAATCAGATGATAGCCGGGGACACTCGTTTGGCACATGCTCCAACTCGTATAAATATGAAAATGCTAATATGGGGTAAAAATGTTGTAGATCCTGGCGGAGTATGTTCCATTATGTATAGTGCTGGTGTGAAGATAAAACTTTCCTCCAAGAAGACTAGAAACTGAATCGTAAAACAAGCATTTCATTAGTTACGCAAAAGAAACTGCTTTGCAGGACTTGTTTAGAAGGAAATACGTCTATTTTCATAAAATGAGAGTAAATATGTGTGTATGTGTGTATATATATAATGTACATATATATATATATTTGTGTATGTGTGTGTGAGAGAGAGAGAGAGAGCTGGAATCAATTATTAACAGCATTATTCAAAGGGATTTAACCAGTATTGAGAATGGTGTTTCTGTCACTTTCCATTAGAAATAAAGCATCAAGTATTCCAGATAAAGTAAAAGAAAAAAAATCTGCATGTCTTGGCAGCTCACAAGATCATTAAGATTAGCCATCATACAAGATTGATATTTTTTTCTTCTAAGCCAAACATTCTCATCTCGAGAAGAAGAAAAAAACAGTACCAGACTCCACTATCTCGCAGAATGTATAAAGTCTGCAAGCAAGGTTATGTATGTAAAGTAGTAACTAAAGCCTGCAATCATCAGACTTATATGTAGAGGTTAAGCTTTGAGAACACGAGCTTAGTTATGTTTAGTTGAAGTTGTCTTAGAATGCTATCACGATCAGAACACGTCTCGAATTCAGTAGTATTTTAATTTAGAAACGTATCGTTTTTTTCTAGTGTAGTGACTAGGTACACCATCATCAGTGTGATTCGGCGAGAAAAGTCCTGACTGGGGTTGAGACGTGTTTTGGGAGTGGAGAGATGTGTATCGTCTTTCTGGACTAAATTATTGAGGAGACAAACAGAATAGAACACAATGAAACATTAAAAAGTAGTAAAATAGTCATATGACTAACATTTACATGTGCACAAATATTGTTCGATATATCATATGTACCGACAAATTGATAAGTATATGCATATACGTGCGGGGAATTAATTGCATCTGAAGCCACTACACCAAGACCAGCAGAACAAGTAAACAAAAACAAAATAAACAAAACACAAGGGCAAGAGCGCCGCCCCAAAAAAACGTACAGCTTCCACGATATATTTCCTGATGGTCTTGAGTCTCGCGAGTCCGTTCGCCTGCCTCACCATCTGGTCACAAACGGCGTCGCCGCAGACGTCCACGGTGCTGAAGTGACGGGCCTCGCGCTGGATCGCTTCCTGGAGCACGCCCAGAGTCGGTGGCAGGGCGGTCAGCGTGGGCGTGTAGATGGGGACGCCCACGTTCGCTTCCGCCCGTGCCGCTGGGAGGAAGGGGACGACCGCCGCCGCTAGAATGGCCACGCCCAGCAACAT